AGTAAGGAGAGGGGAAAGAGTGACAGTACCAGATTTTGTCACAGGAATGATTGAACCATTTGGTAAGGTGATTTGGACAGTGGGTATGGAAAATATACCAGAAAATAACCGAGAATCACAGCATATATGACTACTTGCTCCTGTGTCTAATATCCATAAATTTTTGGGAACAGAAAAAGAAGGGTGTAAAGCAGAAAGGACAATCTGAGAAGGAGAAGGTATACCTAATGAAGAAGGGAGGGTAGAGGAAGCTGCAACATTCGAGTCAGAGACAGTAATGCTAAGCCCTTTGAGCTGAGATTGAAGCTGATCGAACATAGCCTGAACTTGGTCAAGAGTGGTAGGAACAGAGCAAGCCTCGGAAACCCTTGGAGCAGAAACAGAGTCAACAACATCTGAACTGACCAAATTAATAGGAGCTGATAAATTATCGCCATAGGGTGATCGTGGTTTGTGTAAAAGACCAGGTCTAGAAGAGGACAAAGGACGGGAACCTGGTGGAAAACCATGAAGTTTAAAGCATTTGGTTATGGTGTGGCCAGGGATGTTGCAATGAGTGCAAAATGGTCTATTTTTGGAGGGATTGAAAGGGCGGGATTTGTAAGTAGGGTTGGTGCTGGCTTGAAAAGCAACAGAGTCTGAAGGAGCTGGTAAAGCTAGTCTCTGGTGTGCTTTCTGGGCAATCATGCCATAAACCTTATTGATGGAAGGACTGGGTCTAACATGAGGATTTGGCGACGGGCTGGGTAAAACGATTCATTCAGCTTCATCAAAAAGCGAACTACGTTTTTCTTGTCATAGTATTCCATCAGTCTAGTCTTAGCATCACAAGTGCAAGTCCCACAAGTACAGAACGGCAGAGGATCATGCAACTTAAGCTCTTCCCACAGAGCTTTGAGTTTGGTATAGAAAACATTAAGCGCAAGAGGTCCTTGTTGCAACATTTCAATCTGTTGCTCAATATGAAATATTTTAGATGCATTCTTCTGTTTATATTGAGATTCAAGAGTAGTCCAAATTTCTTGAGCATCTTCCAGGTAAATCACTTGAGACTTAATATAAGGAGAAATAGAGTTAGTAAGCCATGTACCAACCAAAGCATTGCAGCGAAGCCAAGCTCCATGTTCAACAGTGTTCACAGGAGGCACAGGAATGGTGCCATGAATGAATCCAAGCTGATTTTTCACGATCAAGACCTGGATGATGGAACGAGCCCAAATATTGTAGTGGACTCATCGACGAGCTTCTCAGAAACGAGACAGATGCTGGAAGAATCAGCAGCATGAAGGTAAAGTGGGTTGGAATAAGGATCCAAAGGAGAAGAAGAAAGAGTGGCAGCAATATCAGGAGTACCGTCAGCCATAGAAGAAGAACCATCAGGATCCATGGTGAAGAAGAAAAAAGGAGATCAGAGAAGATGCGGAGGCAGAGATTAATTCTCTGATACCAGATCAACTTTGTGAAACAGAGAAAATCCAGAGAGGTTTTGTGAATGAAATTTTCTCATTAATCAAAAAATACTGCACCCTTACATGTACATTTATACAGAGAAGAAGAATAAATCTAACAGATTCTATAACAACCTACAGAATGGAAAATGCGTGTTAACAAAATCTAGCTAATATGATTACTCCATCTGTACAACTGAGAATAAACCAAAAGAAATAAATCTTAACCTTGTACCAAGTATACCGAACCAGCAATTGCAGAGAAACAGAGCAATGTCCAAGGAGAACCAATCGCATATGACAGAGCAGGAGAAAAACCAAGTGAATTGTAATATTTCCATTCTGATAGCTAATATCATCTCTAATCACTACTCTATCTTGACCAAGGTAAACTCTAATGACTTTTAAATTTCAAACCATTTCCTAAACCTTTTGCATGTATGATATTCCTTAAATTTCAACTAATTTAGAGAAGATGCCAATTTTTTTTAAGCTAACCCAATCTCTGGGAAGAGTCAAATTTTTATGTTTCTTAACCAACAGACCTATGTCAAAATAAACACTTTAAACCTAGTTTTAATTCCGAATTTATTTATGTGATACAAATAACTCGTTTCAATAAAAAAAACTGAAACTAGAAACTAATCTTTGTATGATACGGGAGTGGATCTATCATACGGATCTGACGACGAGCTAAAATGTAAGAATCATTCAGACGCATCAAGAATCTGACAAGGTTTCTACGCTCGCATAGCTTCTGCCAGCGTTCAGACAGATCGCAAGAACAATCACCGCAGGAAATGTCGGAATAGGTTCGTAATTCTTGAGCTCATCCCAGAAAGAGGTTAATTTCGTGAAGTAGGTGTTGATATCCAAGGCATCCCTGATGTAGGTTATCAACCTGATGCTGAACATTGAAGATCTTTGAAATATTTGTTTGCTGGAATCGATTTTCCAGATACTGCCAAATCTCGTATGCATTCTTCGTGTAGACTATCAAGTTTGTAATCTCCGGAGAAACAACGTTGTTAAGCCAGGTACAAACCAGGTCATTGTACCTAGACCAAGGACCGAAATTGATATTATCCAACGAAGGTTTGGGAATTGATCCATCAACAAATCTCAACTTGTTCTTAGCATTCAGTGTTTTTGTCATCGATCGAGACCACAAATGAAAGTTAGATTTACTGAGAAGTTTCTTAGGAACGAGAGACATACGGGAAGTGTTTGCAGCATGGAGAAATAGGGGGTTGGAATATGGGTTAAGAGCGGGATTGGATTGAGGAATTTGCGGGGGAGGAAGAAGCAGAGGTTCTGTTGTTTCATCATCCATGGTGAAGACAACAAAACAGGAGATGAGAGAAAGGGAATGAAAAAAGAAGAAGAAAAGGAACCAAAAACGATGTCAGAAGAATGCAACGTGTTTCACTCTGATACCATAATAAGTTCCAAACGTAAACCGGAGAAAAGGTGTATATACTTTCCATTGATATATAACAACGTATATATACACTCCAATACAACTAAAACTCAGCAAAAATAGGAAACAAAAAACAGAACATTATCTACATAAAAGATAGAAATAGAATTTGCAGTTGGTTGGACATAACAAACCAGAATCGATCAACTGATATCGTCTAATAAAGTTGTTCTGCATTCTCCCACGTAGTCTCGATCGAATTATTTTTCTCGATCGAATGGAAAAGCGATATGTGTCGTTGAAAGAGAATCAACGAGGGGGTCAGAGATGTTTCTAGTGCACAGAATTGCCCAGTCATGAACTGCACTTGGGCGAATTCATCTTGCAATGTCGAAAGTTCTATTCCCAGAAATTCGATGCGTTCCTAGTGGGTCGACATTGTGATACCGCATGTTGTGGTCTGAATCTTGAATGGCAGAAAATAGAGGGTCGAAAATCCAGATTTCAAATTGTCGATGCGCTATTTGATTGTCATCGTGATACCACCGAGTGGTCTGGATTAGTGGCGGACCCAGAATTATCTTTCAATGGGGACATCAGTGATCTAAAATAATATTCTAAATTTTTATGGAGGCATTATTTAAATTTGTACTAAAATGATAAGTAATGTTTAATTTTTTAAAATGATAATAGAAGTAATTTTAATTTTTTTGGGATGTTTGATAACAAATGAGTTCTCCCTAGTCTAGATCAATGATAACGAAAAAAATAAAAAGATAGATCAATGATAGATCCAAATCAGAGTAAAAATTGACAACAATGTCGTTTGACAAAAATATTCTCTATTTTATTCATTCATTTATATATTATTTATACACAATAAAAAAATAACTGATCACTTAAACATGATTCTACAAAGTTAAAAATGGAAAAGTGGAAACCGTAATCTTTATTTGCCACTACGAAAACTGTTTGAAGACTAAGTTTCTCCTTCTCTACTTAAGTCACCATTTATCATCTGAATGACGGAGAGAGTTAGGGTTTGGGGTTTCTGAACTCATCTCCTTTGCTTTAAAAATAAACTTACCCTTTTAGCCAACAACATGGACGGCTAGCTCTCGTCCCTCTCTGCCTGCCTAGCCTCCTATCGTCGTCTCCTGGTCGCCGCCGACGGTGATTTTGCTCGAGCTCGACCCTGACTCGCCTCCAGCCTCCTTCGCCGCCTGTCTTGCCGCGAGCTCGACCCTGCGTCGTCTCCTTCGCCGCCTTTCTGTGATTTTTCTCCAGACTCGATCCTGCCTTGCCTCGAGATCGACCGTGCTACACCCTCTCCGTCTCTTGTGCGTTAAGGTCAATGGAAGTTTTGGTCGTGGCTTCATCGTCAATCGATGGCGGAATCGGATGTTGGGATCTGAGAACCGGAAAGGAGCAGCTACGCTACAAGTCCTGTGCGTCGCCAGCGCACGGTCTCACTGCCGTCGGCCAAAGTTTCCTTGCCGCCTCTCAGCTCCGCAACGCCTCTGCTTCCTCCGGCTCCGTTTTCTACTGGTATTGGACTAAGGTTCGTAACCCTAATTCCCTCTCTCTCGTGATGATTTTCCTGTTTGCAGTTTTCTTTGTTTATTCAGATTCGTTGTTTGTTCTTTAGATTTCGTGTTTCTGGGCCTAGTTCAACGAATCTATGGTTGGCTCTACACTTGCAATCTGCCATTCTTATTCAATTCCTGATGTTTATTTGTAATTTTGCGGTGTTTTTATGATTCGAGAATTATAGATTGCAAAAGGTAGTGAACTTTACCACTTTTCCGGCGTTTTGACTTTTTTTCCTTCAAGCTTCGACCTTCTTGTTGTGAGTATGCATAGGGGATTGCCCAGTCCTTCCATAGAACCATATACTCATTTCACCATCGCTGTAGTGGAATCCTGCAACTAGCTAATACAAGTTTTATTTTGTCGTGATCAGGCACGGATCAGTGTTTGATGACAGAATGTAGGAATAAATAGGATGTCTAGAAACCCAAAATATCTTGATTTTTTGTCTACTTTTTTTAAGTAAGCTTTAGAGATGCTGTACATCACAAGCTTTTATGTGCATAGTTCTTTGTCTATTTGAATTCCATGGTGTGGTCGGCATTCTAAATTGCAACCTTACCATCTTGTACTAGACACTTCTCCCGTTTGGGATGATCATGTCGGCTTACAAATTGTCTTTTCTTTTTTCAAATTTCTTCGGAACTAATTTTTTTATTATTGTAGCCTCAAGTGGAAGTTAAGAGCTTTCCGGTGGAGGCAATAAAGCCTCTTGCCGCAAACAGTGGAGGAACTTACATCGTTGGTGGTGGATCCTCCGGGGATATTTATCTTTGGGAGGTATATCCGTATACCTTTTATTTGAGTTTAGTTTCAAAGTTTGCTGCGTGTTAGGGGTGGTCATTTTAGGCTTCTGTTCGGTTATATTCGGGTTCTGTTATACTGAATTCGGTTTTGTTTGGTTCAGTTCTATTTCGGTTCGGTTTGTTTTTTTATTGATAAAATATTTATTTTTCCAAGAATTTTCGATTGTTTTGATTATTTTTTATTTGGTTCGGTTTTTTAGGGTTTAGAGAAATCATAACCTTTCGGTTTATATATCGGTTCAGTTATGGTTGTGTTATTCTGTTTGGATTGGTTCAGTTGTGTGGTTATTAACCAAATTGCCTACCCTACTGAGTATGACTAATTGTATCTGAGCTCTAATGAATCTTGTCATCCTTCTGTATCTAGGTTGCGACTGGAAAGTTGCTTAAGAAGTGGCACGGGCACTACCGTTCGGTTACGCGCTTGGTGTTCTCAGAAGATGACTCTCTTTTAGTTTCAGGGTCTCAGGATGGGAGTGTCAGAGTCTGGTCTCTGTTAAGGTTCATCTGCTCAGTCTTCTTGTTTTTTTTTTATTCAATGCATTTGATGTTATTGGGTGCAGAAAACAATGCCATGTTCTGATCTCTTTTCCTTGATTGGTCAGGCTATTTGATGATTTCCATAGGCAGCAAGGGAACCATCTATACGAACACAGTTTTAATGAACATACAATGCCTGTAACCGATGTTGTTATGGACTATGGTGGCTGCAATGCAATCATGGTCTCTGCTTCAGAAGATCGGACTTGCAAGGTACTTCTTTGGAACGCTGGTCTTTATGTTGATAAACAACTGCAATGCTTTACAATAAGTTCTTGTAAATCATAAACATAGGGTATGATATTCTTAATCTTTAGCAAAGATGAAGTTTTCCTTTTTATTATGGTTAAATGATTTGAGACTTTTATTGACATGTCCAAGAACCATGGACAAGATTGGCTTTCTTTAGAAACATAGCTGTGAACCTTATTTACTGCGCTTCAAGGGAGGATTCTTCAGATGAAGCCTTATGAATCTATGCCTTTGGCTTTGGCAAACAATATACTCTCTTTTAGTGTAACTATATTCTAGTTTAGTGATTGTTCACATAATAAATAGACATGTCTGAAAGTATTAAAAGAAGATTTGCTTGCGTTAGAAACAAAACCTTTGATCCTTAAATGCCAGATTTCTCATGATTTTTTTCTTAAAGTTGAAGCTCTCTGTTCCTTTATGTTTTGTTTCTTTCTTACACGTAACTTTGGTTTTATTTTCAAACTAATAGGTTTGGAGCCTGTCGAAGGGTATGTTGTTGAGAAATATTGTCTTTCCTTCAACCATTAATGCACTTGCATTGGATCCTGGTGGGACTTTGTTCTATGCTGGTGGCAAAGATGGGAAGATTTATATCGGTGCACTTAACGCCAAAAGTGACTATGGAACACAGACTCTTGGTTCAGTATCCGAACAGAGGTACACCCATTCCCTTTCATCTGAAATTGTAATATATTAATCATAATCCAATATTCGGATCATAATATCTGAACAAACCTTTTAATGAGATGCACATAATCGGCTAAGGGTATTCAAGAATCAAACTGAAATGAGTGGTTTTTTACCGTTTGTTCCTCCACGGTTGAGACCCAATATTCAGATAGAATGGAGTAAAAAGATATTTGCATTTGTTAGGGGGAGGAATAGGATCTTTTGGAAAATATATTTCTAATACCTTGGTTAAATGCGGTATTAATTCTTAAATTTAAGATAGTGTTCATATATAAGAACTCTTAACGTCTTGCATTTGTATTCTGTTTGGCAATGTGATGGATTCAAAATATGGATGTGAAGCTGTAATAGAACCTAGATCTCATTTTTACCATTTGTTTGTCATGGCTGGTGCAATTGTCTTTCTGTTTCGTTGTCTCTCTAGTCTCTACTGATGGTAAACTTTGATTTCTGAACAGCAAGGCCGTGACTTGCTTGGCATATTGCGCAGAAGGAAACCTCCTACTTTCTGGATCAGAAGATGGCTTGGTTCATGTTTGGGACCCCAAAACGTGTGATATCGTCCGTGCTTTCAGCCATGCAAAAGGTATCTTTAAGCTTTTTTAAAAGAAGGGTTTTCTCTGCGTATGACCAAGTTCCATGTATTGTCTATAGTTGTAGACTTGTTCTCTCATGGGTTCTAATACAAACGATTTTACTGAGAAAGCGTATTTGCACTTTTAACCACATGTTGCTCTTAATCTTTTTCTACAGGTCCTGTGAACAATGTTCAAATAGTTAGAAGACCGGTTGCAGCCAATCCCTATAGTTCTAACAAAATGCAATCTTCATGGAAAAGACATGGATCATCGTTACCGCCTCCGTTAGAAAAATATGAAACTTCAAGAGAAGAAATGACGGATGATACGGTTATGGTTGATCTGCCAGCTCCTGATGTTCCTGTTTTCACTACATACTGCAGCTCTCACACAATCAACAATCAAGTAAAAGAATTTCAGGTTTGGGTTCCTCAATAGTTATAATCTTTGGGTTTTGTCCTGAACTTTGCACAATAGTTTATAAAATTTTCATAAACGGGATGTTACACTGCCCACATACATGATACTTTGTATGTTCTTTTTATGGTCCAGCAACAAGGCTCTGCAGCAACTGAAATTGAGATGGAGAGAATGAGACATGAACTCAAGAAATCATCACAGATGATCCATCAGTGGCAGAAGACGTACGAGAACTTGCATCAGTTATGCGTTACAGAGCTTCTGGGAGATCAGCAAACCGACTGTTCCCGTTGAAGCTCTGTTCTTCAGTTGGAAGTATAAGCAGGTACCGCTCTGGACCTTTCTCTGTAATACTTGGTAGGAGAATCTACGATCATGTTCTTATGGAGATTATTTATTATACGGGTTTAAAATTATTAGCAAAATCTATGATCAGTGGCATTTTTTGTCTCATGAGAAGTATATATAAAGATTGGATCTTGTCCAATAGTATAGTCTTTATGAAAAAAAAAACTTTATCCAGTTACAATTTCGTAACTATTCAACGAACCAACCCTCTTTCTTGGACAGCAGATTTGATGGTTCGTAGGGATTCCTCCAAGTCATCACAAAGCCGATGAGGATCGGTTATGACCGTTGAATCAACTGTCAGAGACATTGTCATCTTGTTCATGTAACTCTGGAAGTGCATCGTCAATGCCTGAAGAACCATCCGAAAATCACCCCGTTAGGATAATATATATATATATATATATATATATATATATGAAGACCCTTCTACTTGACTTTTGCCGATTTTTATCAAAAATTTATATATAAGAAAAATATATGTACATATTTCCAACTTACATGGGGGTGGCCATAAGCACTAGGAGCTAAGTACGTAATCGGATGTCCGTAAAAGCTTATTTCTTCGACAGGACCCATCATGTTTGAAAACGACATCGTTGTGTTCGACACTGCTCGGCCTATTATATCGGCTGCTGCCTGTATATAATTCGCATATTTGATATATATATATATTATGGCATGTATGTATATATGTTAAAACTGACCTTAACTCCAAATGTCTCGAGAATGAATTTGCCGACAGAAAACGTCAAAAAGGCTTCCAAAGAATGCTTCTTCCTGTCGATTGTGTCCTTGGCTCTTCGAAGATGCTCCAGCGGATCATCACGCGTAGCGATGGAGAACGGAATGACAACGTATCCAATCCAATTCCCCCATTTACACTTTGATCCTTTCGACATCATATCGGCCAAAGCCTGTCATTCGATGATAAGCTACTCCTCTTTATCACAAGATAAGCCAAGTAGTTCGTATATGCAAACACATGATCTTATGAAGAGAATTGCCTGAATTCCAGCGTCAGGCCTAAGGTTCACGAGAACTGCAGCCCTTAGCCGTATTCTTTTCGGTAGATTGTCTTGATTGCGCTCCTTTGCTTCTTGTTTCTCTTCGGTATCCCCTATTTATCAATCATATTATACGATAAGTTTCCTAGTTTCATGTAAGAATAAATCAACACGACAGATAAACCAGAGAGAAATTACCGTATTTCCGGTTTAAGTACCGTGAGAGACCGGCTAGGGTTATACCAAGCAAAACATCATTCACAGTCTAGTAAAAACCGAAAACAAGAAAAAGAAACAAACTCAACGATGGAATCGTACGTAGAATGGGATACGATTTTTCGTAAAAAGATCCATAAGATCGAAGATATGTTGTAAAATTACCATGTTCATGGTGTTCTTGATCAGCTTTATGTCGTCGAAGCTCATTGTTCGATGGACGAAACGCCTCGGTTTTTCCTCCATTAAACCTCCTCTCTTACCCTTAATCGGAGTTTCCGTGTCTTTAAGGAACAATGTCGTAGCAACGAACTCAAAAGCATCACAAAACGTGTTGAACACCAATAAGACCGACGACCATAAAGCCAAAACTAACCACCAAAACCGAGATTGGCTCCTCAAACCGGTCAACCGGGACTTAGACCGGTTCTTAACCGGAAGGCTCGGAATCTCCATGGGGTTAGACGTTTTGCGTGTGCAAGCGAGGACGAGAGACATGAGAGACATGCCGTCTCCTATGGAGTGATGGACCTTCAAAACGGCGACGTTTTCTGCGTCGGAGGTCTTTATATCGAGGACGTGAAGCTCCCATAATGGTCTCGAGACGTCCAATGGAGTTGAAGTGAGATTCGAGACATAGTTCTCGAGAAACTCATCCGGGTTTTCCGTCATCCTGCGTGATGCCACCATGTCTGGAACGACGACATGATCTTCTACGTTCACTTTTGTTCGGACCCATCTCTGGTTTTGTCTCTTGTCCCCATCGATCACCTTGAAAGTTAAAGCATGTCAATATTGGTATCATACATATACATACTCATATATACATATATATATATATATACACATGAAACGTGTATGTGGATGAACCAGTTTGCTGGAGAAACGAGGATGTCTGATCAATGTCTCCTTCAATCCTTGGGTGATAACATCTGTATCGATCTTGGTCTTGCAACCGATCACGGAGATTATGTAGCAATTGAACTCCGGCGAGTGGAATAGACGCGCCGCCGGACTCAGCGGCTGCTCCTCCTCCTCCTCCTCCTCTTCCTCCCTCTCTCGCCTTGTTTCTATCCTCATATCTTTTTTTCCTCTGTTTCGATCTCTCTTTTCTCTTCTATACTTTTTCAATACTCTCTCTCTCTATCCGGTCGCGACACTTTGTGTGGTCGTACGACTGACTCGTGATATATATAATATCATTATGAAATTTATTTTGCACGTTAGTTATTTGTCAACATAAAATTGATGTGATTAAGACACCGGGAACATCGAACTGTATAGCTTTTTCTCTCCGGAGCAATTTTGCATCCATTGACCATTGTTGGCTATAAAATATTACACCACGTGATCTATATAGTGTCCATAAAGAGAGTGTATGGATTTTTTTATTATCTAGTTAATTTTATGGATCACTTTGTAGATTAGCGAAATTTAATAAGAAATTACAGAGGGGGTTTATTTTTCTTTTTTGAGTCTACGGTCCATAATATTTTAACTTCATACCAAAGGGAATAATCAAAGTATTTGACCAAAAAAAAGGGAATAATCAAAGTAAACATGATTAAATGAGACAATGACTATATGATAGTTCAGAATTATGACAATCTTTGACCAAAAGGCTATTTTATAAACAATTTTCGGACCCATGTACACACACATATATGTATAAAGCGAAATTAGCGGATAAACTTGACTACGCAGTAAGCACCTGAAATTCCATAAAGAGAATAAAAAAAATATTTAAACTTTAAAATCATGGTTGTGCAAAATCATTTCGATATAATAAATACATACACGTTGTAACAAAATTAGAAATAATAAAAAAACAATATATATACACGTTTTTTATAACCTTAAATATATTAACCCAAATGGGTAGCAATTTCTACACATGCTAGTTACTTCGGATGTTTCCTCTTTTTCCTTTTTCTTTTTGTAATTTAGTCATTTTGTAGTCTTTCAGAATTTAATATATGTTTTCATGTTGAACCATATTCTTTTTTTTTTATAAATTAGGGAAGGCATTTCGGTTTTTTCGGTTTGAAAACGATTCAGTTTGAAAACGATTTTTCGGTTTTATAAAATTTTATCAAACTAAAACTAAATGTTAAATGATTCGATTCGGTTTTAATGTCGTCTCATTTCGAAACAGTTTTAACGTGTGAATACTAAATAAGAACCAAAATATAATATATATATATATATATTGGTAAATAATTCGGATTTTGATTTGATATTTATCTTCAAACATTTGTAGGGTTCATTTCGAAATCGGTTTAATTGGACTATTAAAAAAATGCTAAATTAGAACGGAATGTTATTCGTTTCGATTTGGTTCGACTCGAATATCAATTATCTGATAATTCAAAACCAAATTGCCGAAGCTGATATAAATATCTAAATCAACGTCATTAAAAAAAAATGAAATATCATTGTCATTGTGAGTTGTAAGGGCTAAAGTTATATGATTAATGCCCTTCAACTTATCTGCTAAAATCATTAAGACGTGCATTTAAAGCTTCTGTCGACCTCATCAGTTGTGCGTCCTCATGTCTCTCATTTTTTATTTCTGCCTAACATTAGGTTTTGCAATGATTCCCATCCCCTTGCTCATTACCACAAAATAAAAAATATCTAAGAGGATTGGACCAGTCCATCCATTCATATCTTTATCAATATTTTTCGGATATCTCCTCTCTCTCTCTCTCGTATGGATGGATACATTTAGTTTTTAATAGAAAATATGTTTATATATGATAAAATTAATAGTGCGAATGACTTTTAAAATCCTTTTCTGACTATCGAATTTTCTAGTATACAACAGTGCTACAATATAATAATACAGTTAAAGATCATAATTGATTTTATCTAAGTTTGTTGTACAAATTTGAAAAAGTTGAATCTTCAAAGAGTAAAGCGGAAAACTAACCAGTTCTATTCACTTGAAAAAGACAGTCAAGTACAATTCACTTTTTGTTGTAAGAGTCGTACTTACTACATACACCCGAAACTCCCCAATGAGTTTCTTCCCCTGATTCTACTGATAAAAAAACTTCACAACATAAACTACTCACCAGAGAAAAGAGATTTGCCCAAACGGTCTCCCTCTAAGACTCAACTCACCAAATTGTGAGTAAGCACTCACTTAACAGAACAGACTTTGTATTACGAAAATATGATCATGCTCTCTGAAAAGCTGATATGCACTTGCCTCTCTGTTTAAACTTTTCTGGTTCGTCCACCAAATGATTTGATCGACGTCTCCTTGATTTTCTCTGATTTTGATTCTATCTTCAAGATTCAGTCTTTGACTCTATCTCTTCAGTCTTTGACTCTATCTAAATCTCTTCAGTTGTACCTCAGATTTGCTCGAGCTTTATCTCGCCTGATTCTTCTCCTGAAATCTCTCAAAATTGTTGAATCTGCAACAACCTTTTAACAACCAAAACAACTCGTGCAAATACTTGCACTAACAATCTCCCCCTTTTTGGTTATTTCAGATCATGCACACAAAAACAAATCCTTCAACTAACTTCATCAGGTTTCAACTCAACTAGAGTCATCACACACAGAGTTATAAAAAAAAAATAAGACTTCAGATCATCACAAGTCATCAAAACACATAGAATCACTAAAAGCATGAAAGTTCAGATCATCAATCAAGTGAATATCAGAAACATAGTGATGAGTCATCTGAGAGACTCCTGGCTCTTCTAGTTTTTCTGATTGTTCCTAACTTCTTTGATGGTTCAACCTTCTTAAGTGACGGTTTAGCCTTCTTAGGCACCTCAGCATCTTCTTCTTCGTCCTCCTCCTCTGAAATCTTGTTCTTCTTCATCTTCTGAGTCGAGATCTTCCTCAGCTTCCTTAATTTCTCCCCCTGTGGGCATGGATGATATAATAAAAAACAAGTTTATCGAGGTGAGAAGTACCTGATTTAATGATGAACACATTACTTAGTATTGATTCGTAGTCATGGACTGTTGTACAGATTTTCTGACATTGTGTTACCTGCTTCCTCAGTCCCAGTTCCATCTTTATCAGTGCCTTTTCTGCATCCTTGAGTGTTTCCAGCATCTTCTTGAAATCCTTCTTTCATTTTCCTTTCTTCCTCTTGATTCTGGACTCAATCACTAAGGGTTTTTGAATCACTTCAGTGTTCTCCTTCGGATCGATGATTTCAGGGCACTGCTTAGTGAGTATGCTTTGAATTAAGTAGGGATAAGGTAGTCTGAACCTTGCTCTGAAGTTCAGGGCTCTCTCCGGAATATGATCAAAGATCATGTTCCCATAGTTGATCTTGATCCCCTTCTTCACACCGTAGATTAGTACTGCAAGTCTTTTGTGAATCAGACTTGATCTCTTCGTTGGTAGCCAGTTTGATCTAGCGATCTTGAACAGTACCGAGGACTCGAAATTCAGCTCCATTGGAGCTATCTCTCCTTTTCTCTTTTCGTCATAACTGTCAGTGAGAGCTATCTCCAGTTCTTTCTGATCAATCTCTCTGTCCAGCTCGTCCATGGTTGTCACGATTGTGTTCTTCAAACCCAGAAATTTGTTGATCATTGATGGGGAAAAGTGCAGTATTTTCCCTCTTATGTACACCCTGTGGTACATTGGATCTTCTACCTTTTCTATCTTCTTGGTGATGTTTGCGTAAAATTCTTTGACCAGAATTTTGCTGTGTGGGCATGCATAGGTGACGGTTTCTCCTAGACCTTGATATTCCAGAATGTCCCAAATCCCCTGCTCCTTGAGGTTGCTGACATTCACATTCGTCTCAACAATTGTGTTGAGATTCTTCATATCATTGAATCTTTGTTCAGATTCTCATCAACGAAGTGATGAGACAAACACAGGCTAGCCAGTAACTCCTCATCTTCTGACCCAGAAGGAGATGGGTATCTCACTTTCTTCCTGAACTTTTCTCTTCCCCTTTATCTTCTCCCTTTGATATTCCTCAGAGACCTTTGAGGATTTTGCCCGGGGCATATCTTTTGCTGGTCCAGCCTTCCTCTTCTCAGCTTTCTTGGAAGTCCTTTGCTCAATGATCACCAAAGCAGTTTGTGACTTTGTCTTCTTTTAGGCCTTCTTGGGAGGACTTTTTGCAGTCACCACTGGTTTTGCAGCCACCTGAGATCTAGTTCGAGCTCTCTGTTCAGCTACTACTTGAGAATCAGAACCCTTTCCCTTTTTCTCAGTAGTCTTAGCCTTAGGTTTCCTGCTTTCAACCTTTTTTACACTTGATTCCACCTCAGCCTCATCATCCTTTTTCGATTTTACCATATCCGTTTCCGTTTCTGAGTCAGCTACCACTCCGATCTCATCGTCCTTGGATTTCTCTTGCTCTATTTGAACCAAGGATGGTTCATCCATCTTTTTGGATGTATCACTCACATCCCTTTCAGATTCGACAGACTCAATGCTCATATCTTTCTCAGATTCTACAGGCCTTATCGTTCTTTTCCTCATGAATCTAGGTTCACTATCTGAACTCTCCTCTATATCTCTAATGGGATAAGTGAAGAGATCATCGAGTTTACCAGAATCAGCTTGTTCTGGAGGCAATGAGATCTGTGCATCAGCAGATTCCTTGGGATCGCCCCCGTCTCTAGTTTTCTCCTTCTGAGATTGTTCGTGAATCTCCGGGTCTTCCTCTGATTGAAGCGTCTCCTCTTGATTTCCTTGGATTTCTTGAATTTCATCACCCACTTCATCATCTTTGTGAATTCGTCGGCCCTCAACATTCTTCTGAGACTCTTCC